GTTTGTGGTCACACACGTGCTTATGGTAGCGGAATTAAACAACGAATTTAAACAAAATTATATAAATCTATTAAGTAGACAAATGTTATTGGTGTATTGAACACAATTGTATGTTCCTTTCAAATTCCAAGTTCCTTTCCCATTTGTTACATCGAGCTTGCATTGTATTGTTATACAGTGCAAGCGAATATAACATATAAATATTCGTTATTAAGTAACTTGTTAAACTGAGGTTTATTACATTGGAGATAGGTTGGTTTAAGATTTGTTAATATTGAGGTTGCATTGTAGTTTTATTTACCTCAATCAAAACATTACATACTTATTGTGTTTTTTCTTGATATTAGTCAGTGGACTGTTGTAAAGGTCTTAGTATAGTAAACGTATACAACTTTTATTTGAAAAGAATACGAGTAGTCAGTACTTCTCATCTCTAAATCATTCCGAACTGACGGTAGATTTGACATATCATAAGAGTCTGTTATAGACCTAACTATCTACCTAGAGAAGAACACATAAGTCTCTTATAAATTTAATTGTTCTTATTAAAAAATTTAAAATGTCTTTATTAATGTAATAACGATATTTATTTTTTATTTTTTATAACAGGACATTGTGTATTCCTGTATACACAACGACGCCTGTTATAAGACAAAGTGTTGCTACGTTACAGAATTAAAAAATAAAATGTTGGGGTTTCCAACACTCATCTTGTTATAGCAAACATCTTCTGAATTTAAAACTAATTTTTTTGTTTGTTTAAACACTAGAACACATAGCGATATAATTCACATGCTATGGGATTAAAGGTTTATTGATTGAAATTAAACTTTAGTTGTTGGAATTAAGGTATTTTATTTAAACCTTTATGTAACGTTCCCACGTTATAAAGTTTTTGGGTTGATAAAATTTATTAATTAGAGGTATGTAAGCATTTTTTAGAGTTGAAAATTCTTTATAAAGAGGTTGTTCGCAAAAAAATTCGCAATGTAAAATTATATTTTACATTGATTATTATGAGAAATTTAACTGGATTACGGAGAATTTGTTAAATCAACGGAATTGTTCTATTTAAATTCGTTATAATAACTTTTTTCGTTACATTAACGGTTTTATTATTGTACATATTAAAAACATCTTCACAACTGTAATTCTAGAAGAGGTAGTCAGAGATATGTCTATTGCTAACGTTCCATAAAATGTGATATTTGACATGTCACATAATATAATTTAGACAATTTTAATTTATAGCAATATATTTAAGACTAGCTGACTCGTGCAACTTCGTCTGCATCACAGTTACTTGACATTTATTGATATATTTCGACCAATTTACATAATATATTTTTAAATTATAGGCTATATGTTATTCTGATATATAAGCTATATTACTGTGAAGTTTCATCAAAAATGTTAAGCAGTTTTTGCGTGAAAGAGTAACAAACATCCATCTATACTCACAAACATTCACGTTTTTAATATTAGTAGGATAATTCGTCCTTACTTATTTTCTTCTCACAGTATTGCACTGGTATATGCGGGAGGTCACTCCATTCGAATTTAAAAATGAATTTTTATTTTTATAAACTTGTACAAGTTCATTTGAAAATAATAAGAGTTTCTTGTCAGTTCTTCTCAACTCGGAAGCACTCCAAACTGCCAGTGAATTTGACATATCATAAGAGTCTGTAATAGACCTACATAAATAAAGATATTTTGATTTGATTTAATTGATACATATTACTACCATTATTAACGATACACAATATATGTAATTTTCAATACGTACAAAACGAATTAACATATAAATATAAAAAATGAAATTAAAGAAATGGAATTTCAATTTATTCATGGAAATATAAATTAGCTTCGTATTAATTTCTGTAAAATGTACAGCCTTCGTTAAATACAAAAGCATTTATATACGACGCCATTAATAAATTTAATGGAATACGCTTCGAACTGCATGCATCAGGAAGTTGCATAATATTTTAATTGTACCCATTAAGAATAATAAACTTTATGGCAATACGAATACAACTCATAATTATAATTGCATTTCTGTCATTAATTTTTATTTTAAATTGTAAGGTGCATGTGAATTTGTAAAAATATACTCTTTTTAAAAATAAACATTGCGATTGCATTAAAAATCTGTTTGTATAAAATATGCAAAACGTTTATAGAATTAATATGTATTGTCAATCTAAACACTATAGTATAATTCCAGCTAATTCCTGTCTTAAATAATGAATGCATTTTTGTCATTAATTATTATATATTTTACAGTTTTACGTCGATGTACTATAAATTCATATTAATGTATTCTTTTTTTAAATAAGCCATTACGATTACTTTATAAAAGTGTATTTGTATAAAATGTTAAAAATAAGTATGTTTAACATTTTATTATAAGTATTATAGAACTATCGTTGGTTAAATTTCCGGTTAATTCCTCTGTTATGGAAACCATCAATAACGAAACAATTTAATCTGTTTATCAGCTTACTTCTTTAAATCTATTAATGAATTTTAATACGATTTTCCCTATAGTTTCTGAAATGCTTTCCCAATATTTATATGATGGCCTCGACGATATAGCGGATTAGCGTAGTTGACTTCAAAGGATCATAGGTTCGATTACTCGTACAGTCCAAAAATTTGTATTCATGAGTATGATTGTTTGTATCGGTCTAGGTGTTTTCAATGTATATTTTATGTAGTTACAAACAAACATATTCAAATATTTATATAAGTTGTCTAGTAGTATTAACATAAGCTCTAGGATTAGATGACGCTGTGTGGATTATTCAGGGTTATTATTATTATTATGTATATCCATGAAAAAATTACCTCATATATATAAATCCGCAAAACTGAGGTTAATCATTCATAATAAATGAACTACAAAATTTATTTGAATAGATTCTCGCATTTTTATGTTTTTACAGTGTCTGACATTTATTCTAGTATTTGTGATAAAAAATTTATCCTCATGTTAAAAAATTTCCCTAAATAACGCCTAATTCTCCCAATTTCCAAATATTCAGTCACCCGTATCCAATAACGAGGCCGGGTCACTGAGACTATTCTAGAACACCTAAAAATAGATTTATAAGTGTAGCATCTCTTGCAGTATATTTTTTGGATTTGATTTGGAATTGTGTACAATGTAACTACATAGTATAAAAATCTTTAATATTTACAAGTCGTCATTAAATTATTTGCTTAAATATATAATGTCTATCAATCTTAATGTCAAATAGCTAATGACTAACGTAGTTGTAGTAGAGTAAGTAGACCTGAGAATCCAAAAGCGTTGACTTTCCCATCCTTACAATATTTTCTTTACTAAATTTCATAACAGAATTGAATAGAAAATTCTTTATTCGAATAAATTTAAGCTCTTTCGAATAATCACATTTATTTTTTAAATGTACAGCTCATTCGGAACGCTGTCTCATCACAAGAAGAACAAGAAAGAAACTTGCGTATTTTACTTTAAAATAATTGTAATAATTTTAATGTATAATTCGATATATGAGAATACACACTACCAATTAGCACTAATTCATTACAGTCAAATATGAAATACACAATCATGGATCAATAATTTTGTATCAAACCTACCCTTGATTTCAATTCTTTATAATCCATCAGTATTTGCCTTATTGAATTTGTAAATTAGTATTACACACTTGTTCTCAAATCTATCTACTCCATAGGTCCACGATCTATGTGATTATGATAGGTCAGTAAAGGATATTTTTCTGTGTAACTACAATAGCAATAGCAAACAAGCTGACGGCCCACCCTACTGGTAAATAACCGTCACCAATATACATGAACTGAACTACAGATATCACGTTATCATGTGATATCTGATAACTCATACATTACTATTTCGGAGTACTAAGATATCATGTCTATTTTAATTTAATATCAGTGCCTAATATCACCCTTCAACCGAAACAAGGCTTCCAAAGGAATATTTTGTTTTACTGAGATATACGAGATTGAGGCACCCACGCAGACAGCTTTATAAAGTCTAGGTAATAAATTTCTTACATTACAATCACAAAAAAAATTAAATATGAAATAATGTTTATTGCAATGTCATCATTACATTGTATAAAATAAAGTCGCTGTCACTGTCTGTCTCTATGTATGCTTAAATCTTTAAAACTACGCAACGGATTTTGAAGCGATTTTTTTAGAGTGATTCTAGAGGAAGTTTTATATATAATACATGTACACCCTGGAGAAGCCGAGGCGCGGAGCCAGTTATATAAAAATGAAATTACTTTTGTTAGTCTTGCTAAAATTCGTAAACGGCTGGACCGATTTGGCTAAAGTTGATTTTGAAATATTTGTAGAGCTCAAAGGAAGGTTTAGGTAAAATATGAAGAAATTGCATACAAACTGCTCGTATCTGTCAAATAGGGTTCGTTCAGAAATTTATTGCGTAACTAAACTTCAAAAAACCTTTGACATATTATTTAAATCTGACGCGGTATGGAGTTCGCGGGGTCGACTAGTAAAACATAGGTATAAAAATATGTATATAAGCATATTAATTATTTATATCTTATATCTGAATTATCATCAACACAAGAATTGTAATGTTCTCCTAAACTATACATATGTCTGTGGTAAGAAATTATTAATGGATCATCATCACCAATTTCAATTGCCTGCTCAATACAATCAGAACTTTTAGCTTGTATTACTCAAATGAGACATTTTAATGAGCTAGATTTATATATGTCCACCTTATGTCTTAGTATTCAATATTTTATAAGAATACACATTTATTTTTCATAAGTAAGCACTTCACAGGAAAATCAACGATATATTTCATACAGAATTTACCAGTATATTAAATAAACATTTATCCGTGAAAAGTAAAGAAAACATAACTAATTTCTTCTCCATCCGTCAAACTGCCAATATAGAAAGGTAGCCACGCAGAAAGTAAATTATTTATTAATAGTACTGACCCATTTTTGCCGGATTCCCAACCGCTGAACAGAAGAAAAGAAACAACAGCGAACAAGTCTTGAACTCCATTTTTTCACACACTCAAAACGCCACTAGGATTATGTTGAGCAAGTATTTCATTTAGCAGTATCACATTTTTTCGATCACAATTTATTGTACGGGACTGCTACGCGGCGGACGCTAATACACGTGTAGCGCGCTCTACGGCTCCCAGACGACTGGCGTAGCATCTCCACGTAGCCGGCTACGGAGCGAAGCTAGTCGTATTATTGATTCTTTTAAATGTTATTTTTGGTGATTTTATATGTAACATTAGTGATTTGGTGATTGCTAAATTTTTATTTATTAAAATATCAATTATAAATATTGTTTAGTTTTTTTTATATATTTAAAAGACATATTAAAAATAAATTATGTATATATTTGTCATTTATAAAAAAATATTTTAATACTTAACTTCGAAGAAAACTGGAGTAATATTTTTTATTTTTTATTTTTAGTTTATATTAGACAACCTTTTACCCGCGACTTGATCTGTTTTTTTTTTCTTGAGATAAAAGTTAGCCCATGTTCGTCCTCGTCATACAGTCTATCTTAGCATTAAAATTTATTACGAAACGCAAAGATTTGTTTAGCCTAACAAACAGACGCACCTTCAAATTTCCAATAATCATATGGATTTTTGGTTTTTAACTCAGAAATGATACAAAATTAATAACGTATACACGTACATACTGACGGCGTCGGTAGTTTAGCGATTTAGCTGACTAGTCGTGAGTATTATTTGTATCGGGTGTTTTCTATATATATTAAGTATGTATTAAAAAAATATCAACATATTTATATCAGTTATCTAGTACCCATACTTCTTGTTTTGTTTACCTTGGGACTAGATGGCTTTATGTAAATTATCCAGGGGTATTATAAAAAAAAATACGATATATAATTACTATTTACTAGCCGTACCCGAGATTTCGTCCGCGTGGCAGTTAGGTTTATTTTTCCAAAATAAAAGTAGCCTAACTTACTCCTTATTACATCAGCTACCTGCCAATAAAAGTCCCGTCAAAATAGGTCCAGTCATTTCACAGATTAGCCAGAACAAACAGACAGACAGACAGACAGACAGACTAAATTATAAAATAAAAAAAATGTTTGGTGTATGTATGTACAGTATTTATATTCATATGCATGTAGTAAAAAACAGTTATTTCAATATTACAAACAGACACTCCAATTTTATTTATATGTATAGATGTATAGATTCATGAAGATACATCACGGAATATTCTTATTATTACTGTTTAACTGCTTAAAATTAACTTATTTATTACTGTACAGTTACATCAACATCATTTCAGTAACTTTTGTATGAAAGAGTAAGAAACGTCCATCTATCCATCCATACTAACAAACTTTCGCGTTTATAATATTTCTAACTAGATACTCGCCCCGGCTTGGCACGGGTATATTTGTGTTATACCTCTCTCTCAAATCACTCTGTCTATTAAAAAAAAAACCGCTTCAAAATCTGTGACGTAATTTTAAAGATTTAAGCATACATAGGGACAGATAGCGACAGCGACTTTGTTTTATGCTATGTAATATTATATATATAAACCTTCGTCTTGAATCACTCTATCTATTAAAAAAAAACAGCTTCAAAATCCGTGGCGTAATTTTAAAGATTTAAGCATGCATAGGGACAGATAGTGACAGCGACTTTGTTTTATACTTTGTAATAATGATTACTAATTTGTTATAGACTTTACTTATCATATAATATACTAAATAATGCAATATATACATATTGTATAAACTGTTGATTACTTCAATAAATAAATAATTATTTATTAAAGAGGGTTGCGGAATGGGAAATAATTAAATTAATACTTGATTATACAAGATCCACTTGTAAATAAACAATATTACACGTGTAAATACAGATTAAGTAGGAAAATGCTAATATAATTACGTCAGGAATGTTCCAATTTCATTCGCGATCTATTTATATGGAAAACCTTACATTCATAGTAAACTATTAAATAGTGTAAACCGCGCTTCTGGAATATTAATTCTATCTTATATAATATACCTATTCATTACACTGAAATATATACATATATATATATATCATCAAGATGTAATCCTATTTGTGGTAGTCAGAATCATTGTCAACTGTCGACGTAATATTGAAAGAAAGAATGGACATGTCCACATTTTTCTGAGACTATAAACCGAATGTGGAAAGGAATGAACTTGTCTAGAAATAATTTAGTTTTGTTACTTTGTTTGAAATTCTTTATAGTACAGACTAGGTACTCGCCCTCTGCTGCTCCTCTTGAATCACTCTGTCTATAAAAAAAACCGCTTCAAAATCCGTTAGGTAGTATTAAAGATTTTAACATACATAGGGACGGACAGACAGCGACAGCGACTTTGTTTTATACTATGTATTGATTATAAACAGAAGGATACATATGACTTAAAAAATAAATGGTACAATGGCGGTTTAGTTATACCGATCTTCAATTAATTATTTTTGTTATAGATATTTTCATCACCGGAGAGTAATTTGGACATTTAAATTGGTATGCAATTTTTGTGCAGTCAGCTTCTATTTGGCTAGTATCGGTATGGATGCAAGGATGGGGGCAAGAGAGTATAAAGGGCAGAATTGTTACTAATGTTACCCATGGTAACAATGAACTAAGTCAATCCGACCCCCACGCGGTAACCCCTGAAAACTATCCCAGTTTAATTCTAAATTAACTTTTTGCCACGCACAACCACATTGTGGAATCACCGTCCAGCATTGGTATTTCCACGTTATTGAAACTTTCAAGAAAAGAACTTATTCTTTTTTAAAAGGCCGACAACATACTGGCATTTCCCCTGGTGTGGCGGGTGTTCATAGGCGGCGGTAATCACTTACCATCAGGTAAGCCGTAAGCTCGTTTGTCCCCTGTGTTTAAAAAAAAATCTAGATAAACTACCATACCCGAGTTCATGTTCATACGCTCTGATGCCTCTTCAGTACATGCCGTATGCTCTGTTAATAATATACTAAAAGTACATAAAAAAAAACGATTAGGCTGATCATTAGTAGGAATAAATATTTGTAGGCAAGACTCTATATAGTATTCATAAAATAAACAAGTAACTTCGCGTATAAAATAATTAATAAAAATGTACTGAAAAAGGAATGTAATCACTTTTCCAGTAGCAACTTTCAAATTTTTTATACCCTACAGTGATTCGTAGTTTTCTAAAAATAGAACAAGCAATATACGTCCATTATTTTTTATGCTGCTATTTTTTGCTAACCGGAAATACCAACCTTTTTCGTACATTTTCAAACTTGGAATCCCTGTTCGAATGCCTGTCGTTTTTATCACATTCGATAACAGGCAAAGGAAAAACTACATAAAGGTGGGAATTTTATGAACACTATTTTTGTTTACTTTTTGTTAAATATTTATTTTTTAACTCTTTTTTTTTGACAAAAACTTATATGGAATATAATTTACAGAATATGTTGAAGATTAGAGAGTAGTAGTGATATACTATCACTCTAAAGGTAGTCGGATCGAATATAGCCGACATTAACCTTTGTAATCTACATTACCGACTTATTCTTCGGTGATACAAACATCCATAACATCTAACAGACAAGAATATTAAATACAATTGACCTCGGAATTAAACACAATCTTAATAGATAATTATTATGCTAATATCGTTTTAAAAACTAAATGTTAACGATATTACTATCTTTGATCATTGTAAACTCTCCGGCAATAGAAACACCCATAATGACTAACATAGCAAGAATGCTAAATACAATCTCCTCGTACAAGTACAATTTAAGTTACATTTGTTTAAACCATGTTAAACAGGAGATTGTAAATCCGTTAAATTTACAATCTCCTGTTATTGTATAATGCAAATAAATCATATTCTATATATCTACCTATATCTATCTTATATGCATAATATTGGTCCTTTGGCGGGCCTATTGTGGCCTACATTAGTGTAAAGATACCATTGTATTCTTAACGCGTGATATCTTCGCTCCACTGCTCGTTACGACTGCCTCTATTTATCTCAGGCACACCGCCATTGTATCGTAATTGAAGTGAATTCGAGATAATGTTTAAAATTAGCTTCAATGTCTCACCGTTGCGAAGACATCTCGATCTTTGAAATCCAGTAATTTGACGGCTTCGGTAGTCTGGCTGTTTAGACATTATAAATAGCTTATAGATAAACATACTGTTAGAATTCACATCATTAATGTAGACAAAATCCGATATTTTAAAAATATAATAAAAGAAGGTAGTTTGTTTATAGTACTAATGAAGAAGTACTCAATGTAAGGATTATTACGAATATTGTAAATAGCGCCATCTAGTATTTATAGAGCAACCTACTACCCTGACTTTGGTCTATAAATACGGAGGTCGGTAGTTGAATAATCCTCTATCGTTGCGTAAGCCGCGGCATTCAGTCGACGAGCGCAGAACGTGTCAGTTGTGTTTTGGATATTAAAGTGAATTGTATTAGCAATGGGTTTATCCCGGTCTTAGTTGGGCCTGGGGGGAAGCTGCAAGTAGTGAAGGTGAGTGTTAATGCATTCTAAAAGGGCCTTTTAAACCTACACCCGTGTCACAAGTCACGGGCGCTACTTGGGGCTTCAAAGCTTCAGTCATCCATCATATTTAGTGCTTCTTACAATACATATAAAATAATATTGTAAAATTAATGTCTCACTTGCAACTTATAAAAAGTCAATCTTAAAAAAAACACAAAAAAAAAAATAGGCGTCATACACAGACAAGGAATTACTCAACTTTGTCTTTACTGTATTTATGGTGTACTTTTATAATTTTATATATAAGTATAATAGATATATGTACTGTATGCATTAACCAAATTTACAAAAATCAGTGTTGATCTCTAATTGTCATATTTAGCTTATTATTAAATGTCAACGAAGCGATTCATTTTAGTAAATACTACTGGTTGCGCCATATAACATTACATTTTTGTTTATTATTATATAATTATTATTAGTAATAGTTTGTTGAAATAGATAATTTAACGTGGTACGAAACGTTAATTTTCTAAGGATTGGCACTACACTAATTCCTTCATCCTCTCCTATTCCTGCACATACCTTTGTTTTAAGTGCGAGCGA